ATGTAGACTTGTTCTGCTCTGGATGATACCTAACACCAAAACTAAACCAGGTGATGTGATAAGCTGACATTCAGCCTTTTTTTTTCAAAGTGCAAACTGTGTCAGCCACACTGGAACCCACATTAATGAAGATAATCCTTCCCAGGACAACCCTGTTTGGGTCCAGAAGTGCTACTGAGATCAACAGTGTCCTGCTGGGCAAGGGCAAGAGCGATAACATCACCTCAGGCTTCTGTCAGATGGAATACTGCAAACGGTCTGGGTGAAAGTCCGTTCACACTACCTTGGAACTAGAATGACAGCAGTATTGCCCTAAACATGAACTAGGCAATGTGTCAGTGCTTTACATGCACCTAATTATCACAGCAATCCTGTTAAACGTAATACTAGAATTATCACCATTTTACATATGTGCTGTGTTTAAATCCTTTAAATATACCCAGATCCACTTTCAGAAAGAGTTCATGAGAGCCACTGAAGGAGAAGCAGGTTCTATTGAACCGGTAAAGGAGGAAGCTGAAACTCAGTAAAGCTGTTAAACTTCTCCAGGAGCATACAGCAGGTTAACTTCACACCAGCACTGGGCCTATAAAAGTGGATAAGGTGGAAAGGAAGCCCTGGGCTGCTGGGAGAATATTTTTGTGGATGTGTGGCTCTTAGAGATTCTAGTCCAATTTATTCATGGCCACATTATTTTTTCAGTTTAATGCTATTTGGCTTTGGTTTAATACTTTTCCATGGAAAAAATGATTGATTTTCAATTATTTCCTGTTTCTCCATCCAATAAAGACAGTTTTGTTGCTTCAAAAAACCATCCTATGATATCCAATTGAGTATTGCAATAATTAGTCAAACATTTTCTTTTTTTCTCTCTTTTTTTAATTTTAATCATTGTTCAAGTACAGTTTTCTCCCTTTTACTCCCAATCCAGCCCACCCACCCAACCGTCCCCACTTCCCTCCCATTACCACCCTCCCCCTAGTTTTTGTCCATGTGTCCTTTAAATTTGTTCCTGTAAACCCTTCCCATTCTCCCCTGAAATTCCCTCTTCTCTCTCCTCTGGTCACTGTCAGCCTGTCCTCTATTTCAACGTCTTTGGTTATATTTTGCTTGTTTGTTTGTTTTGTTGTTTAGGTTCCTGTTAATGATGAGATCATATGGTATTTGTCTTCCACTGCCTGGCTTATTTCCCTTAGCATAATGCTTTCCAGCTCCATCCAAGCTGTTGCAAAGGGTAGGAGCTCCTTCTTTCTTTCTGATGCATAGAATTCCATTGTGTAAATGTACCATAGTTTTTTGATCCATTCTTTACTGATGGGCATCTAGGTTGCTGCCGGCACCTAGCTATTCTAAATTGTGCTGCTATGAACATCGAGGTGCAAAGCTTCTTTTGTATTGGTGTTTCAGTGTTCTTAGGATATAGTCCCAGCAGTGGAATTGCTGGGTCAAAAGGCAGATCCATTTTTAGTTTTCTGAGGAAGTTCCATACTGCTTTCCATAGTGGTTATACCAATCTGCAGTCCCACCAAGAGTGCACTAGGGTCCCCTTTTCTCCACAACCTCTCCAACACTTGTTGTTTGTTGCTTTGTTTATGATGGCCATTCTGACTGGTGTGAAGTGGTATCTCATTGTGGTTTTAATTTGCATCTCTCTGATAGCTAGCAATATTGAACATTGTTTCATGTGTCTTTGGATCTTCTGTATGTCCTCCTTGGAGAAGTGTCTGTTCAAATCCTTTGCCCATTTTTTAAATGGGTTGCTTGTCTTAGAGTGTATTCGTGTAAGTTCTTTATATATTTTGGAGATTAAACCCTTGTCTGAGGTATCATTGGCAAATATGTTTTCCCATACAGTTGGTTCTCTTTTTATTTTGATACTGCTTTTTTCAGCTGTGCAGAAGCTTTTTATTTTGATGAGGTCCTATTTGTTTATTCTTTCCTTTATGTCCCTTGCTCTAGGGGACAAGTCAGTAAAAACGTTTCTGCATGAAATATCTGAGGTTTTCCTACCTACGTAATCCTCTAGGACTTTAATGGTGTCACGATTTATATTTAAGTCTTTTATCCACCTTTAATTTATTTTTGTATAAGGTGTAAGTTGGTGCTGTAACTTCATTTTTTTACACGTAGCTGTCCAGGTCTCCCAACACCATTTGTTGAAGAGGCTATCTTTACTCCATTTTATGTTGCTGCCTCCTTTGTCAAATATTAATTGACCGTAGAGACTTGGGTTTATTTCTGGGCTCTCTGTTCTGTTTCAGTGGTCCATGAGCCTGTTTTTATGCCAGTACCAAGCTGTTTTGATTACAGTGACCTTGTAATATAGTTTAGTGTCAGGTATTGTGATCCCTCCTACTTTACTCTTCTTTCTCAAAATTGTAGCAGCTATTTGGAGTCGTTTATGGTTCCATATAATTTTTGAAGTGTTTGTTCTATGTCTGTGAAATAAGCCATTGATACTTTAATAGGTATTGCATTGAATGTGTAAACTGCTCTGGGTAGTATGGACATTTTGATGGTATTAATTCTTCCAACCCATGAACACGGTATATGTTTCCATTTGTTTGTGTCTTCCTTTATTTCTTTTCAGTGTTATATCGTTTTCTGAATACAGGTCTTTTACCTCTTTGGTTAGGTTTATTCCTAGGTATTTTATTTTGCTTTTTGCTACTTCAAATGGGATTTTTTTCTTGATTTCTGCTTCTGCTGTTTCATCGTTTGTGTACAGAAATGCCTTTGATTTTTGGATATTGACTTTGTATCCCACTCCTTTGCCAAATTCATTTATTAAGTCAAACAGTTTTTGGGTGGAGTCTATAGGATTTTCTATGTACACTATCATGTCATCTGCAAAGAGTGACAGATTTGTTTCCTCCTTTCCGATTTGGATGCCTTTTATTTCTTTTTCCTCTCTGATTGCTGTGACTAAAACTTCCAGTGCTATATTGAATAGAAGTGGTGAAAGTGGACAGCCTTGTCTTGTTCCTGATCTTAGTGGAAAAGATTTTAATTTTTGCCCATTGAGTATGATGTTGGTTGTAGTTCTCTCATATATGGCCTTTATTCTGTTGAAGAATGCTCCCTCTCTTCCCACTTTGCTGAGTGTTTTTATCATAAATGGGTTCTGTACCTTATCAAATGCTTTTTCTGCATCTATTGATATGATTATATGATTTTTGTCTTTGCTTTTGTTTATGTGATGTATTACATTTACTGATTTGCGAATGTTGTACCATCCATGCATCCCTGGAAAATCCCACTTGGTCATGGTGTATGATCTTTTTAATGTATTGTTGGATGCAGTTTGCCAGTATTTTGTTCAGGATTTTAGCATCAATGTTCATTAGTGATATTGGTGTGAAGTTTTCTTTCTTTGTTGTGTCTTTATCTGGTTTTGGAATTAGGATGGCGTTGGCTTCACTAAAAGAGTTTGGGAGTCTTCCATCTTTTTCATTTTTTTGGAATGGTCTGTGAAGGATAGGGTTTAGCTCTTCCTTAAATGCTTTGTAGAATTCTCCTGTGAAAACATCTGGCCCAGGGCTTTTGTGTGTTGGGAGATTTTTGATTACTGCTTCAATTTCTTTTGCTGTTATTGGTTTATTCAGGCCTTCTGCTTCTTTTTCATTGAGTTTTGGAAGATTTTATTTTTCTAGAAATTTGTCCATTTCACCTAGATTTTCAAATCTCTTGGTATACAGTTCTTCATAGTAATTTCTTACAATCCTTTGTATTTCTGTGGTATCTGTTGTAATATCTCCTCTTTCATTTCTGATTGTGTTTATTTGGGTCTTGTCTATTTTTTTCTTGATGAGTCTGCTTAAAGGCTTGTCAATTTTGTTTATCTTTTCAAAGAACCAGCTCTTGGATTCATTGTTCCTTAGAATTGTGCTTTTAGTCTCTATGTCATTTAATTCTTCTCTGATCTTGGTTATTTTTTTTTCTTCTGCTTGCTCTGGGCTGTCTCTGTTGTTGTTCCTCGAGTTCTTGTAGACGTAGGGTTAGGTTGTTTGTTTGAAATGTTTCTAACTTTTTTAGGTGGGCCTGTATCACAATGAACTTCCTCTCAGGACCACCTTTGCTTTGTCCCATAAGTTTTGGGTTGTTGTGAATTCGTTTTCATTTGTTTCCAGAAACTTTTTGATTTACTCCCTAATTTCATTCTTGACCCATGCATTGTTTAATAGCATGCTATTTAATTTCCATGATTTTGAGTGTTTGGGGCTTTTTCCCTTGGGGTTGGTTTCTAGCTTTAGTCCCTTGTGATCCCAGAAAATGCTTGGTATGATTCAATTTTCTTGACATTGTTGAGGCCTGTTTTGTGTCCTATCATGTGGTCTATCTTTGAAAATGTTCTGTGTACATTTGAAAAGAATGTGTATTTAGCTTCTTTGGGATGGAGGGCTCTGCATATATCAGTTAGGTCCATTTTATCAAGGGTATTGTTCAATGCCACAATATATTTGTTGATATTTTGTTTGGAAGATCTGTCCATTTTTGATAGCGGGGTGTTAAAATCCCCCACTATGATTGTGTTGCTGTCCATATCTTTCTTGAAGTCCTGCAAGATTTTCTTTATGTATTTGGGTGCTTCTATGTTGGGTGCATATATATTTACAATATTTATGTCTTCTTGGTGGATTCTTCCCTTGAATATTATGAAGTGACCTTCTGGGTCTCTCTTTATGGCCTTTTTTTTGGAAGTCAGTTTCGTTTGATATGAGCATTGTTACCCCCGACTTTTTTTTTTCCTGTCCATTTGTTTGGAAAATTTCTTTCTAGCCCTTCAATTTCAGTCTGTTTAGGTCTTTTGCCCCGAAATGGGTCTCTTGTAGGTTGCATATGTGTGGGTTATGTTTTCTTATCCATTCAGCTGTTATATGTCTTTTGATTGGAGCATTTAATCCATTTACATTTAAGGTTATTATTGATAAGTACTTATTCATTGCCTTTTATGTACATGTGTTCCTCTCTCTCTCTCTCTCTCTTTTCCTTCCTTTCCTAAAAATATGGAATGCTTCATGAATTTGCGTGTCATCCTTGCAAAGGGGCCATGCTAATCCTCTCTGTATTGTTCTAATTTTTGTATATGTGCTGCCAAAGGGAGCACCAAATATTTACTTTTTATGCCTTCATTTTTAAATTTTTGATATCTCCAGGTATGAAATATATTATTCTATATTTCTTAAAGTAAAAAAGGGGGGAAATGGACTGGAAGAAAATCACTACAAATATAGGTAGTGAATTTGTTTTCCCTCTCCACACATATATTTGTATTTATTTGCTTGTTTGTTTTAACGTCATTAATGTGAAGTTGATTTTCAAAACTATCATAGTTTGGAAACTTATATAGCTTGACAAGTTATTTATTTTCTTGTTTGAATTTTCTTTTTTATTGAAATTTTTTCTTGTTTATGTTATTACAGTTGACCCAAATTGTTCCCCTTTTCCCCCCTCACTGCCCAGCCTGCCTCCCACTTCCATTGTTGATTCCCACATCATTGTCCATGTCCATGGGTCTTTTGTTTGTGTTCTTTGACTAATCCTCTCACCCTCTTTCAAACAGCCTGCACCTTCCTCCTCCCCTCTTACCACTGTCAGTCTATTCCATGATTCTGTGCCTCTGGTTCTATCTTGCTCATTAGTTTATTTTGTTCTTTATATTCCTCTTACAGTTGACATCATATGGTATTTGTCATTAACTGACTGGCTTATTTTACTTAGCATAATAGTCTCCAGTTCCATTCATGCTATTGCAAAATGTAGGCATTCCTTCTTTTTTCTGCTGTGTAGTATTCCATTGTGTAAATGTACCATAGTTTTTTAATCCACTCATCTACTGATGGGCACTTAATCTGTTTCCAACTCTTGGCTTTGTAAATAGCGCTGCCATAAACATAAGTTTGTGTGGAGAAAAGGGAGCCCTAGTGCACTGTTGGTAGGAATGTAGACTTGTGCAGACACTATGGAAAACAATATGGAATTTCCTCAAAAAATTAAACATGGAAATGCCTCTTGACCCAGTGATTTCATTGCTGATGATATACCCTAAGAATCCCAAAAGTCCAAGTCAAAAGAACTTAAGTTATTTTAAAGCATATAGCCAAGTAACCATCATCACCCAAAACAAGAAATAGAATACTCCCAGTGTCCTAAATCCTCCCCTTCCGTGCTTCCTCCTGATCACAACCACTTTCCTCACCATTAGGCACTGTAATGGCTTCTTTAGGGCTTAGTTCCTTGAATGTCTTTATTATTTTACCTCCTAAATTTATATGTCTAAGGCTTCATTTTTAATATGTTCTCACTTCAGTTGCTAACACCATGTTGAATATAAGTGACATCCTTATCTTGTCTTAGGTCTCCAGGAGAAATTTTCCAACTTTCATTGTTAAGTAGGATCTTTTAGTATCTTATATTTTTATCATTAATGGATGGTGACATTTTCCAAAGCTTTTTGTACAAATAAAATAATTATGAGTGTTTTCCTTTAATTTGTATATCTTCCTGTAATTTTCAATGTGGTAAATTGCATTTACTTATTTGAAAATGTTAAACCAACCAGCAATCATAGAGTAAACCCTGATTTGTCATGATTTTTATATGTTGTTGAATTTCTGTACTTCAGTGTTCTTTGAGATTTTTGCACCTCTGTTAATTAGAAAGATTGATCTGTATTATACTTTCCAGTAATTTCTTCCTTAAGTTTTTATAGCAGTGTTATGCTAGTTGTGAAGAATTTCATTTTTTCCCCCTGCTCTATAACACTTTTATGAAACTGAAATGATTTATTTGTTGAATTTTTGGTAGCACTCACTGGTGAATTTATCCAGGCCTGAAGCTTTACTTGTAGGAAATTTTTAATTACTGATGTAATTTATTTAATATTGATAAGTCTGATTAGGTTTGATTTTGGCAAGTTGTACTTTTCTAGAATTTTGTCAGTTTTATCTGAATATTATCAATTTTATTAATGTTTTCAAAGTATTTAGGCCTTTCTTATTTTCTTTTTAGATATAAATGGTAGTAAGTATAGATGGACAGACAGCTAGGTAGATGGATAGATAGACAAACCTACCACCAAAAACACAATCCTATCATTATTTTATATTGTCAGTATTTACTTATATATACCCAAATATTCAACTTACTTTGTTTCTTATTCCTTCCTAAATCTTTTACCTTCTAGCTTGAATACTTTCCCTTTTGTCTAAAGAATATCCTTAAGATTTCCTTTAATATAGATCTGCTGGTAACAAATTCTCTCTGTTTTGTGTCATTTGAAATGCCTTTTCATTAGTTTTATCTTTTCAGGGGTTTTTCTAGGTATAGAATTCTGATTGATAGTTTCCTCTTCAGTTTTATTGAAATTTCTGATAAACCCATTCACATTTTTAATATTTATTAGTGCTAGAATTTCTTTGTTTCTTCTTTTTTGGATCTGCTGTAACTTTTTTAATAGTTTCCAATTACCTTCCAATATTTCACACTCCTTCTTTTTCTTGAATATAGTAAGCAGAGGTGTTTTATTGTGTGTGGCTGATGATGACATTGGGAACCCCTGTGAGCCTTTTTTTTCTTGTTCTCCCTCTTGGTATATTTTCTTACATTTTTTTAAAAAGAATTCACAGTGGATTGAATGCTGGCCTGCAAACCAAAGGGTCACCAGTTCAATTCCCAGTCAGGGCACATGCCTGGCTTGCAGGCAAGGACCCTGGTTAGGGGTGTGCAAAAGGCAACCACACATTGATGTTTCTCTCTCACTTTGTCCTTCCTTTCCCCTCTATCTAAAAATAAATAAATAAAATATTTTTTAAAAGAGAATTCACAGTAGTATTTTAAGGATTAGGATGATGCCACATTTCTTCAGATAGGCTACTTCTTTCCTTTTTCCAGGACACAAAGAATTCAGAGTCACCTTAGTCTAAGCTCAAGTTTTGAGTTAATGCAAAGCCAGTCTGTAATTCAGGTGAAGAGGGAATACTCTTTCTTCACTTGTTGTTTTATGCTTTTGCTTTTTGGTGTACCATTCTGTGGCAGGGGCTGATTTACCAGAATCTTCCTCTTTGATGGACTCTGAACCCCCAAATTAACCAAAAGGTCACCCTCTCAAGCATCTCTTATGGTCAACAAACATCACAAGGACAAAAGTGTTTCCATGTTCCTGGCTCACCCTTCTAGATTCTTGTTATCTCCTGGTCTTGGCATAATGGTCCTTAATTTTCTTATTTCTTCGATGTTTTTAAATTGTCTCAGATTTTTTCAGGGATTTTCAGCTGTCTTCTGCTGAAGCATTTGTAGGGACATTACCAGAAGCAGAAATCTGCATTTCTGTCTTTCCTTAATTGTTTATACAGATAATGAATTTAATTTATATCAGGGATATTTTTTAATTAGAAAAGTAAGGCCAGGTTTGATCTACAAAATATATAAAGAACTCACATGACTCCACCACAGGAAGACAAACAACCCAATTAAAAAATGAGCATAAGACCTGATCACTCACTTCTCCAAGGAGGGGTCCCAGAGATATGAAAAGATGCTCAGCATCCCTAGCCATCAGAGAGATCCAAATTAAAACCACAATGAGATACCAGTTCACACTGATCAGAAAGGCCATCATAAACAAATCAATAAACAGCAAGTGTTGGAGAGGTTGTGCAGAACAGGGAACCCTAGTGCATTGTTGGTGGGAATGCAGACTGGTGCAGCTACTGTGGAAAACAGTATAGAATTTCCTCATAAAACTAGAAGTTGAACTGCCTTTTGACTCAGCAATTCCACTGCTGGGATTATACCCTAAGAATCCTGAAACACCAGTTCAAAGGAACCTGGGCACCCCAATGTTCATAGCAGCACAATTTATAATAGCCAAGTGTTAGAAGCAACCTAAGTGCCCATCAGTAAATGAGTGGACAAAAAAAACTGTGGTTCAGAACTTTTTCTGGCCAAGACGGAGGCATAGGTAGACACACTGTGCCTTCTTGTACAACCAAACAAGGACAAAGACAATTTAGAAAGAAAAAACAACCAGTACTGACAGAAAATTGAACTGTATGGGAGTCCAACAACCAACAGGTTAAAGTAGAAACACTCATCCAGACTGGTAAGAGGGGTGGAGTTGGGCAGCTGGGTGGAGAGAGGTTGTGGCACAAAGAGTGGTGGGACCAGGCGCATAAGGCATCCTGGGTGTGCAAGACTGCAGTGGCAGACTCTGGGCACACAGGCAGCAGCTGGCAGACCCCAGGTGTAGGGTGGCAACTGGCAGGCCCAGCAAGGCAGTAATTGTGAAGCAAGGCACTGGGCACAACCCAGGGTTCCAGCACTGGGAAATAGAGCCTCAGGGCACTGATTGAAAACACCTCTGGGGGTTGAGGTGCAGGGAGAGACTCCCAGCCTTACAGGAGAGTTAATTGGAGAGATCCACGGGGTCCTAGAACATACACAAGCGCACCCACATGGGAATTAGCACCAGAAAGGCCCAGTTTGCTTGGGAGAGGCAGAGGAAGAAACTGAAATCCAATGGAGAGCAGAGCAGGCATCATTGTTCCCTCTCAGACCCCACCCCCACACACAGTGTCACAGCCTAGCGACTAGGTTGCCCCACCCTGACACCTAAGCCTCCACTCCTCATATGTAACAGGCATGACAAGACAAAAAAAATGGTCCAAACAGAAGAACAGATCAAAGCTCCACAGCAAATAAAACTAAGTGACCAAGAGATAGCCAACCTATCAGATGCACAATTCAAAGCACTGGTGATCAGGATGCTCACAGAATTAGTTGAATTTGGTCACAAATTAGATGAAAAAATGAAGGCTACACTAAGTGAAATGAAGGGAAATGCACACAGAACCAATAGTGATGGGAAGAAATCTGGGACTCAAATCAATGGAGGGGACCAGAAGGGAGAAAGAAACAACCAAACAGGAAAGAATGAAACAACAAGAATTCAAAAAAATGAGGAGAGGCTTAGGAAGCTCCAGGACATCTTGAAATGTTCCAATATCCAAATTATAGGGGTACCAGAAGGGGAAGAGGAAGAGCAACAGATTGAAACTTATTTAAACAAATAATAAAGGAAAACTTCCCCAATCTGGCAAAGGAAAT